TATCATTTCCTTATCCAGTTGAGTTCTGGGTCTTTCATCTGTGTTCTCTTTATGTCCAACACATAAGTTTTGTCTTGTTTTGTTTTTAAACTAATTATATGTGTGTTCACTAAACTGTAATACAGTAGTTTGCGAACTTGTCCATCTCAGTCTCTGGGCTGCGAATTCTTAAAACAGGAATCTTATCCTTTGTCTTTGAATCACTAAGGCTGAACACAATGCCTAGCAGTGAAAAGTCACCAAACGTATTTTTGTTGAGTAAATATAAATGAATAACAAATAATTCATAGTTTATTTGTATAAAGTTCAAAATTATACAAAAATGTATAATTTATACATTTCACAATATTTAATAACCAATTGCTAGAGACACCTGTTAGTCACACCAGAACTACCATAACAACCAGTAATGCTCTCTGTACTCATTTCACCCACCCTGTATCAGCCCGGGCTATGGGTATCTTTGACTTTTTTATACCAAAAAAAGAGAAAATATGTATATTTTCATACCTACATGCAACCAGAGACTTTTTAGAAAAACATAGAGACATAATGTGTTGGAAAGCACCTGGATGCATGTACACTGAAGCCAATACAGTTGTGTTCTTAAGCTATTTATATGTGATGATAAATGCTTTCCTATAAAGTTTACAGTGGTGTTAGAGTGCTGCCATGCCTTGTCCTAATTATCCAGCGGCATAATTCACATTCCCCAGTGGGCTATTTTTTTGTTGTTAAATAGCAGTAAGTTAAGAGAGAATAATTTCCACATTTTAAAGACCTGTAGTAAATATTTATTGCCTTACTTCCATGTTTCGTAACAGTAAACAACTCTCCCTTCTCCCAACCAAAGCTTCCTTCATCTTTTATATACACTACTGCAAAGGGTGGTGCAGGAGCTGACTGACAACCTACTTCCATTCTTGTCTTCTAGCACCTCAAGCCAAGGCATCTGTTTTCACCAGAACGAACTTGCTAAAATGCAAATGTGATTATGGTACTCCCTACCAAAAACCATTCAACTTTTCTGCATTATCTATAACAAACTTTTCAAGGCAACTAAAAAAAATCTGCTTGCTTTTTTTTTTTTTTTTTAAAAAAAAGCTCATTTTTGGGCTTTGCAAATGGTGACTCCAATTCAATAGGAGCAGGGTGGTAGAGTGGTACTTAGGTGCTCTTAAAGTTCTTACAGGAGATTCTATCACACAGCCAGGCTGAGGAAAATTCAACCACAGGATGGAGTCCTAACACCATTACAGGGAAGAAGATTATTCAGAAACTGCCACCTGCCTGACACTTATTAGCTGCAAGACTTTGGCTTAATTATGTGGGTATTTGAGCCTCACCTGCCTCAGTTTGAATGCGGATAATAGTACAAATGTTGCAGCACTATTCTAAGTATTATATATAGTATTAGGTTATTTATCATCCAGACTACACTATTTAATGCATCCAAATGCACTATTAATAATTACTGTCATCCAAAAGCACTATTAATAATTACTCCAGGATACTATGATAAACTTGGCTGTCCCAGACAAACCAGGGTACTATAATTTGAGGAGATGTATTAAATGCATTTTGTACAGTGGATATAACAGAAGTTCAATAAGTCACCTTCATTTTTATCATTCTTCACATTTTCTCCTCTACTCTGCTGGAAGCTGTAGCACACCAAGGTCATGGCACAAGGCACACAAATAATGCTTGTGACATGCTCTAACCAAGATCCTGAGTGTTTGTCTATCACTACCTTTCTTTACATATACTTGATACTTTCTCCCTTGACTTGTTTTGTTTTTTATTTCTATAGATTTTTAGGGAAGAGGTGGTGTTTGGTTGCATGAACAAGTTTTTAGTGGTGATTTCTGAGATTTTGGTACACCCATCACCCGGGCAGTATACACTGCCCAATTTGTAGTCTTTATCCTTCAGCCCCCTTCCACCCTTTCCACCAAAGTCCCCAAAGTCCACTGTATCATTCTATACCTTTACATCCTCATATCTTAGCTCCCACTTATGAGTGAGAACATACGATGTTTAGTTTTCCATTTCTAAGTTTCTTCACTTAGAATAATGGTCTCCAATTCCATCCAGGTTGCTACGAATGCCATTATTTTGTTCCTTGTTTATGGCTGGATATTAGTCAATGGTGTGTGTGTGTGTATCACAGTTTTTTTATCTACTTGTTGATTGATGGGCATTTGGGGTGGCTCCATATGTTTGCAATTACAAATTATGCTGCTGTAAAGGTGTGTGCAAGTAACCTTTTCGTATAATTACTTCTTTTCCTTTAGGTAGATACCCAGCAGTCTCCCTTGATATTTTGTATAAGCCTTGATATTTCTTTCCTTTTTTTCCTCTACCACTTTAGCTCATCTCTTTTTAGGTCCCAGACAAGGAATGCAAAGAGGCCCCCTTGCAATACATTTTTTTAAAATTAAAAGCTACATATCAAGCTAAAATACTGTTAAGTATCTCCTACTTTGACAGATAAATCATGACAGGTCCAAAATTAGACTTCCTGGAATCCTTGGAGTTGCACACAGGACTTTGATGAGGGCAGTGCCAATCCTGGGGGCCTACAAACAGCCCATCTTCTACTCCTATCCCTGACGATCTGCGTGACAGGAACATCATATGTAAGGGTGTGGACACCTCAACCTGTACATATTCAAGCTCTGTTCATCTCCCACTTTTACCTTCCTTAGCAAACAACTCGAAGGGTGTGTATCATATATCTGTTGCTACTGTAACAAATTACTATAACACCAATGGCTTGAAACCACAAATTTATTCCTTTTTAGTTTTGGAAATTAGTCTTACAGGACTAAAACCAAGATGTTGGCATTGCTGTTTCATTCTGGAGGCTCTAGGTGAGAATCCCTTTCTTTGCCTTTCCCAGCTTCTAAAGCTGCATTCATGGATCATTGGCCCCTTCCTCCATCTCCAAAGCCAGCAGCATAGCATCTTCTCTCCTCTTTGACTTCTGTCTTGCTCTCGTAAAGACCCCAATGATTACATAGAGCCTGTTTGGATAATCCAGAATAATCCCTTCATCTCAATTTTTAAAAACATAATCACATCTAGAGTCCCCTTTGCCAAATTAGGTAGCATTTACAGGTTTCAGATATTAGGAGATATATGTGGGGGCCATCATTCTGCCTCCCAAAGGGTGTGCATACCAATGAACACTTGAGAGCATGAACCTAAGGAAGAAGTGTGAGTGAGCACTGGAGCCACCCTTGGAAACACTTAGGCAGAGATTATGGTAATTGACAAGCTGTGGGGTCATGTGAGCATGTCCTCTTGGCCCTCAGGATTCTTTGCCCTGCTTAGCCAGAGGAGGTCCTCTAAAGCTGAGGACCCAGGGCAGGGTTCTTTCTTAGGGAGGGACCTCAGTACATCTCCTTTCTCCTGCTGATCTGGCAACCTCTGCCTGTTACCCATTCTCTTGATCTACCTACAAGACCCTGTCAGAGCAAAGCATGTTAGCAAATTGTTTTACTCTATTAAAAGTTCTTTTTCTCTTATTTTCATTCCTGCCTTTTGCTTGTCGTGAAAGAGCCCCATTACACACCCACTCATTGGTTTTTAACCATCCTCACTGGCTTTCCCTTCTTTTGAATCTCTAATTCTATCCTTCCGCCACCTCTTCAGTGTTCTTAAAATACACAAGATTTCACCTGCTTGTGTGTTTCTTTTTTAAACATGCTATCCAGCTAGCAAGTTATTCCGGAATCCTACAACATTGTTAATTAATTCCTCTGTTATTCTTTTTCAGTTCTAAATTTTCTTCCAGCATTTGAAGCCTGAAGATTTTCTTCTATAATCTAATTTAAAATCACTTTACTTGGTCTACTTGTATACTCTGTCTTTATATTTTGCTAGATGTTGGCTATTTAAAATAATGTTTCCAAACTTATATAATGTATATAGAAGAATTTTTATTTCCAAAAAAGTATCTTAAAAGATGTTTTCTCCTCTTTTAACTTTTTGAAAAATATCTGAACTTTGATCTATGTTTTTACAGATTCTCATTAATGCATGGAAAGTTTAAGGAATCATCTGTGATTAAGGTCTGACGTGGTTTTGAGAGCTAGGAATTATTTCACAAGAAGATTTTGTAGGTTTTTTCCTTAATGAAATATGATATATTCCTAAGGCTCTGATGAAAAGAACATTTGTCCATGTAAATTTGATTTTAAACTTATATAATTTCAGTGATTTTAAAAATCGATGAGTCTAATAATGTTACATTACAATAGTGTGTGCTCTGTTCGGGTGCATGTGTCTGTCTTATTTATCACTGCAGCTCAGCAATAGCCTTGCTACCAGTGTTCGTATTTTAGTAAATAACTGAGTAAACGAATGTGAGAATTAATGATAGAATTTCAAATGGCTTTAAAAAATGATATAAAGATATAAACCATGCTGCCTCAATCACAACGCTGAAATACAGACTTAAATTTTCAATCAAATTTGTAGTCTCTCCTAGCCTATTCTGCTATGAGTAATAAATTATTTCACTAAGGGTGCTAACTAAACTGTGTATATTCAAGGTAACCACGGTCTGTTTAAATAGTTTATGAATGGTAAGTACATCTCTATAAAATAGATGTTATTTTATAGAGATGCTATATATAGTGATAATTCCATATGTTATAGAATTATATAGATACTGAGATACCAACTATGCAAAAGACACTAAGATATCTTTAACACAGTGTTAGCTGATGAGAAATTGACTCTTTGGTACTGAAATGAAGACAAGAAATGAGGGAAATATTTCTCCCTTAGCCCCTTTTCCTCATTGCTTTAGGAATTGCATATGGGACTTGGTTCACTGCAAATTTCTATAGCTTTTTAATGGTAAATATGTGTCTAATTTTTTCAGTATGTAAATATTTTATATGGCTTCACTATATCGAATGTTTGCTTCCCAGTGTTCTCTATTTTACAAATGATTGAAGTTGTCTTTTTTTATTGCTTGTCCTCAGAATGGCTTTACTCCTTTATACATGGCTGCCCAAGAGAATCACATTGATGTTGTAAAATATTTGCTGGAAAATGGAGCTAATCAGAGCACGGCTACAGAGGTAAGACTGTCAGCCCTAATGTCGTAAATTATTTGGTCTTAATGTCCATGTTTTTTATATCAGCCTGCAAATAATCTCCATTGCTTTGTCTAAAATATGCTAGGAACGTTCATGTTACTATTATAATCTCAACAGTGGCTGTGAACAAATGACTCAGGCTTGTGCACAGAGTAGTTCCACCCGTTTACGCCTTCATTGGGATTCATTTCTATTTATTGTTATATAAAATCAGGCTTCCATCAATTTTCCATCCTCTGATTTTTTGGAAGTTTTGTACCATTCTAAAGTTTGATTGCAGTAAATTCGACTCATCTCTTTTCACCAATATTTTATCTTTGTTAGGATCCAATATGATTTCTTAAAGGAACAATATTTTACCATCAGAAATAATTCATAAGTATCTGTGTTAAAACAGTTTTATGAAGAATGTCGCAGGAAAAACCACTGTACCTTATTGAAGCATGAATTATGACACATGGTTGTGTGACTGATTATGACAGCAACTGAACAGAATGTCCAGAATCAGTCTAGTTTTCAAAAGTTTCAGGAAATCTGGACATAAGAAGTGGGAGTGGGCAGGGACCCTTAGAACATCAGTTTTCTTTCCTAAGCATGCCCACCTAATAAGTAGAAACTGCTTTGTATTTTCCTTCTCATTTTTGCCTAGGCAGATTAAGGAGCAAGTTCAATGACTATCTAGGGCAGTGTTTTCAAGTGATGCTCCAGAAGCCCTTGTGCTTGGGGTCACTGGAAGGTTGGGAGTGAGTGACATTGAAGAGGAGAAGAAGAGAGCTCCTTGGAGACATGCCTTTCCTCACCTCTTTCAACCAGAGGATACTGGCGTGTTTTTTTTCTATTTCATATTTTGTGTCCCCACTGATAAAATTTCAAAACTCCTGGCCTGGAGTGAAAGATTTGGTAGATGCTTGTTACCCAGAAACTATTTTAAGATAATTTGTAATGTCTAATATGGCTTCCTTTCCGGATAATTAAGACTTTAGTACGTGAAATCCCTTATATGCTGTGTTAGAAGGAGAGGTCATTAAAATTTAATAAATGCCTTTCCAGTCCCTTTGGGAGAAAACTTTTTATGGAGCCAATTGCAACAACTTTCTGACAGCTTATTCTCGTTAGTTTTCTAAGGAAAAAAACCCAAGAATCACTATTAATGAGACTATGTTTCCTACTTATGTGACTGGAAAACACAACTACCCAGTATGAAATGTTTGTGAGTTCTCTATTCAATACACGCAGATCTTATAGTCTTGCCACTTGGATATGGTGTGATTTTTATAATTTGGGACTTTTTTCCCCCTCAGACACTTGTTCTATCCATGAGTAACATGTGAATATCTTCAGGCAGAGCTCAGGTAACAATATGAGACTGCATTTTTGCATCAGGGCCTCTGAAAAATATCTCAAAATAAGGAAATCTGGATTTGTTTTGTTTGGTTTTGAATTCTTTGAAAGCAGAATCATTTACCAGATGAAACCTTTTACTCTAGAGTGCTTTTATTTACCAAATAGACTTACTGTTTCTAGTGTAGGATTTAGGAAAACTTGGCTCACTGGCATTCCCAGCTGTCTCATGGCTCCTGGCTCCTTTGGTCTAGACCACTCACTGTAGCATTTCCCATTTGGTTCCAAAAATACCCTTTTATGAACATTGCATTGGTAGAGACCACATTACACTCTGTTCCCAGAAAGTTAAAATCTTCTCTGATTCCACAAAGAATGTGTCTTTTGCAAATAAATCATGTGAGGTTTTGAAATTTAGCTTAGGCACATTATATACCTATTATTTGTTTCATTTCATAAAATTGTTTAGATAACCAGTTACTTTTCTCTGATTCAATATGTAAACTTGATTGAACTCTCATTGCTTGCACTAATGGTTGTAAAAAAACACACATATGAATGAATCTTTAGATATTCCTTTTTAGTGTATCATTCTGTGAAAAAAATGTTTTTACAGGGCTGTATGGTCGATTGCCATTTGATATCCTGTGTTATATTGCTAAATACCTTCTATAGTCTTACGTGCACATGTGTGACTATGCCTAAAGAAGGCACTTTCCCTGAACTGGTTGGTAGTTAATTTGCAAAAATTAATGACTAATCAAGACATTATGATCACTTTAAAACCAAGTGATTGTGAGATTATTCAATGTGGCAATGAAATTCATAACTGAGAAGAAATAATTAAAGTTTAAAAATTTTCCATAACTATAGCACTTAGCATTGGTAAATAAAATGTGAACAATGAAGCTACTGAACTTTAATATGGATTTCCTTTTAGTTGTGGTAATTGAACAAATCATTCCAAATGTTTAGCCTTATCCCATGAAGTACAGATTAAAATAAAATCTACATGGTGAAGATCCAAGGTTAAATTCTCAGAAGGGAGTTCTCAGTCTCTCCAGTACCATTTTTATATAGTATTTCTCTACTCTCTTCCTTCTTCCTAAATGCTACCAAAATTAAAGGCCTAAAACTTTTTAATCTAAAACTTTCTAAATGCTACCAAAATTAAAGGCCTAAAATTCTGTTCTGTGAGCAAATGCCTCATCTCTAAGAAAAAATTAATTTCACACTCTTTTAATATAAACTACCACAGTGCTGCAGGAGGTAATACATTTAAATATGTATGTGATAATGAGTCTGTGCTTTTCTCATTCACAGAGCATTTAATTTGTGCCAAAGAAAGTTCTAAATTCAGGCTACTATTTTTCATCTTAAGATACTACATGCTTTACTCTTCCATTCTGTTAAGTATTTGTTGTATTTAAAATTCAGTTATTATTAAAAAATATTATTGCTGGTACTACGTACATAATACAATAAACTGAGGAAATTTTTTTTCTCAGTAGTCTACAACTTAAAAAAATTATTATTGGAAAAAAATTGAGTAGTTTAATTATAGTAAATTACCATCATCTCTAGAATGTAGTCCCAGGTTCAAGCGATTCTTCTGCCTCAGCTTCCCAAGTAGCTGGGATTACAGGCACAAGCTACCACGTCTAGCTACTTTTTTTTTTTTTTTTTCGGTATTTTTAGGGGAGATGGGTTTTCACCATGTTGTCCAGGCTCGTCTCAAACTCCTGACCTCAGGTGATCCACCCACCTCGGCCTCCCAAAGTGCTAGGATTACAGATGTGAACCACTGCACCCAACCTAGAATGCAAGTCTTTAAATTTACCTTACAATTGCCCTCATTTTTTTCTCTATGTGAATGGAAACTTGTAACTTTCAGACTTGTTTCCCAACTTTTGTGGATTAAGGGTGGTTTTTTCTTTCACATAAATAGAGCCAAAAATATATTACTTTTTTTATGTACTTGTCACCTTTCCAAGAACTGAATACTTGTTTCTAGAGAGAAAAAATGTAGCTATCCAAGTGTTCTAGCATGATTATCTACTGCTAAGTTTCCCCTACCTTTTCACTTTCCATGATACTATTTTTAAGTTCTGTCTTTTAAGTTTAGAATTGAAAAACAGTTTTTTTACATTATCTAGCACATGTAATTTTATATCTGAATTGTTTAATAATATAAAATTTGATTATTAAGAGCATAATTAATAAATTAACCTAATTTGCCAAAGAGTTTTAGATCATATTGTTTCCTAAGCTTCCAAAATTGAATTGGTAATAGACAACTCTGTTCATAGGGGTTGTTTCCCTAACCATTCCGAGATATTTAGTAACCTGCTGAATCAATCATATATTTTACTTCCCTGTCTCGATTACCATATCTTTGATTCCCAGTCAGACTTGGTCTCCATTCTTTCTGCTCTTCCCACTTTTCTGCTTAACCTACAGAGGCATTATTAGGATTCGTTCTCACTTTTATTTTTCAATTGCAATCATACATTTAAGCATATCCTGTATGTAGTATGTTTTGTTAAGGAATGCAGATGTTTTTTTCAAAATGTATAGAATAGAAATTAGGAGAAGAGTCTGATTAAACTATTCCATAATATGATGAATAACTGGTTATACTCTGCTTCTAATCTTTCCAGTAATATTTTAACCTTTTGCTTGTCAATATTGATTATTAAAAATTAGAGCCATTATTGCTTAGAACTAAATCTCTAGCATCTGAAGATGTTAACAGACAATTTTTATCTTCTATTTTACTATTTAGGATGGCTTTACTCCTCTAGCTGTGGCACTCCAGCAAGGACACAACCAGGCAGTGGCCATCCTCCTGGAGAATGACACCAAAGGGAAAGTAAGGCTACCAGCTCTGCATATTGCTGCTAGGAAAGATGACACCAAATCTGCCGCGCTCCTGCTTCAGAATGACCACAATGCTGACGTACAATCCAAGGTAAAAGCTGAACACATTTGTGGAAAGGAACTCTTTGGCTGCCAGATTCCTCCTTGGGGATGATAAAGAAGTGGGCCATGGTGATAATGCAAAATTGTTTCTGGTCATAAAAAGAGATAAATGGACTTTCAGAGGTATTTCAAAAAGAAGGGGACCTCTAAAAAAATTAAATGCAAGATAATTTTTTTTTAAAGATGAGGTTGAGTTTTTTAGAAATCTGCTTATTCTGTTTATAGTCATAAATAATAGCATTATTTTAAAAAATTGTATTATGTAGTGCTTGGGGACATCTTTCAGTAGAATGCATTTTGACATGTTGGAACAGTATACCCAATTGCAGTGAGCAGATTGACTATTTCCATAATTTTGCATTGTGTAATATCTTCCCTCTTTCTCCCAAACAACACTGCTTCAGATGATGGTGAATAGGACAACTGAGGTACAGTATTGTGGTTATACCAAAATTTACCTTTTCTTTATTTATTTTTAGGTTTTGCCCAGTTAGAATAAATGCTCACTAATTCCTACTAATGATTAGAAGTTCCATTAATGGGAAATTAATTTGGAAACGTTTCCCATCATGAAGGCAAACTGATAATTCAAAGATATTTAATGTAACATATATTTGAAGCATTATTTTTACCAGTAAAACTATTTGAATAGTTTATTAGAGCATGAAATTCAACTCTTTCTTAACATATATTTTAATAAGTGAGCTTTACTATTAACTTATTGCTGAGAAGAGATATAATTTTATTTCCTTAGTGAGAATTCTCAGGTTAGAGTTTTAAGGAAGTGAAAATTTGGGAGGTTTCTTTGGCACTGAGTTTTGTCTTTTTATCTAATTGCAGTTTCTCTTTTTTTTCTGTATGCTCCTTTTCTTTACCACATTTTAAATAATCAATGATGATATTGAGCATATCAAGAACAAACTAATTGCTTTTTCTTGTAAGTCTTAAAATATTTGTATAGGATCGTATATTTTCCACATTCCAAAATAAGTCACATCAATCAATGAGAACATTAAGTTCAGAAGCCTCTCAGTGTGGTGTGTTTCTATATGCATGTATTTAGTAGTCTCTCCTTGGCCATTGCTACAGAGAGACACTAACACAAGCATTGTTGAAGTATATTACACAAATTAACCTCTACTTCAAGACAAGTGACTATTTATTTAGGTCTATTATTGCTTTGCTGAGGGGATTCTTTAGACTATCATCTTGTTTGATGACTAGGTTGTGGACCTCTGAGCATTATCACAGAGTATACGTAAATTATTTGTGTTATTTCTTTTGTTCCATATCTTTGCGTGGAACTTAGGTCAGAGACAACAACAAAAAGCCCAGCTGTTTGGTGAACTTCTTCACAACTGGAACCATTCAATTTGATATCTTAATAACTGGTTTCATTACCTTTAATTTCTTAGATGCTTTTCGGTGATTATTTAAGATACATCTTTGAAAGCAATATTGGCTCTAAATACTGTGAAAGCAGAAGTTTAGGCAGATTTTTACTGAGTTATACATATTTCTTTGAAGACAATAGAGTAAAAAGAAGAGAAACCCCTTCATCAAATCCTGTAGAAATGTGAACTCTACCTCCCACTTCCATGTTAATCAGGGAAGGACTGATACCAGTTTTGTGCTGATCCAAGATTCACACCCTGGGTATCATTATGAATGATCAGTGAGGCTGTATTAGAAAATTAGGTAGCTTATTTTTGCAAATGATATTACTATATTTAAATACTTAGAAGATGATTCACTCAGAAGTCAATGTGTTTTTCTGAAACTAAATTGTAACATCAATAATAGACACACGCTCAGGATATGTCTGGGTGACAGGAAATATCAAGATAAAAATAAAACAAATTTAGTCAATTATTTCCTAAAATATAAAAATTTGACATTTTAAAAAAATAACAGCCAGATTGAGACTGATTTTTTTCCCTCCATTTTGACATGAATATTGATATGACGTAAATGTAAAATAGAAATTTCTTGACCACAATTAGGGTATTTGGATTAGTAGTTACTGTTCTAGTTTTGTGTCTTGCTTCTCTCTAACTAAGAAATCATTTGTAGCTAATGTTGCTATAGAAATAGCACAAATTTTCATTTCCTAAGATATCTGAATGCTTATTTAGGATGTTTTTAAAACAAAGTCAGCAAAGCCTATATATCTACTCAACAGAAATAAATGGTTGTAATTTTGAAAATATTTCTTAAAAACAATACAGTAAACATCATAGTTCATCTCAAGTAAAAGAGAGCAGTATCAAGTAACCCAAAAATGGCAGAATAACAGTTTCTATTTTTCCCATAATCTTTTGTTAAGTGGTGAAAATTATGGACAGTAAGAAAAATTATCAGATCTTTTTTGTACTTTAATAAGTTAATATGCTTCAAAAAAAGAGTTAATATGCTCCTATTGTGAAAATAGCAACAATTTTCAACTAAACTTTTCATTAGAAAAAGAAAGAAAAGGCAATTTTTTTTCATTGATATTTTCAGAATTATTACATTTTGAGAGTAAACAGTTCTGTAATGCCCATGTAGGTGATTTAACCCGGTTGGTTAAACTACATTTTATTGTACTGATAAAATTTAATTCATATTCAGAATTGGAGTGAGCTGAACTTTTTTCTTTCTTTTATATTCCTATTGATGCCAAGTATATTGTTTAATTTTTGTTTTTTAATTATTTATCACGATAACAACATAATCTTACTACACAGTTGTAAAATGGTATAGGAATATTATGACAGTGTAAATGACATGAACAATTCTATATCCTCTGTAAGAATGTTTCAACATATTTTCATGGTTCCAAAATTAGAATGCCAACCAATACTGCTTTTTTAAAACAAAAATAAGGGCCGGGCGTGGTGGCTCAAGACTGTAATCCCAGCACTTTGGGAGGCCGAGGTGGGTGGATCACGAGGCCAAGAGATCGAGACCATCCTGGTCAACATGGAAACCTGTCTCTACTAAAAGTACAAAAAATTAGCTGGGCACGGTGGCGCGTGCCTGTAATCCCAGCTACTCAGGAGGCTGAGGCAGGAGAATTGCCTGAACCCAGGAGGCAGAGGTTGCGGTGAGCCGAGATCACGCTATTGCACTCCAGCCTGGGTAACAAGAGCGAAACTCCGTCTAAAAAAAAAAAAAACAAACAAAAACCAATAACACTTGTTTTGAGTCTTTCTCTGAAAAGGCATTTTAAAAATTTTATTGATACATTAATTCTATGGCTGAAACCTTATGTGTTTAATCATATTCTGGTTTTCTTTAATATGCAAAACCAACTTAAGAAACATTGTTTTGTACAAACAATGAATTTCATAAATAGATAAATATTTAAGGTAACTAAAAATAATGTTGCCAATAAATATAGGATATTTATTTACCTCTTTATATATTTAGTTATGTACCACCTTACAACATTAAGATTTAAGATCTTACTAAAGCATTTAGTATTGCTCATATATTAGGCAGACAGTTACCATGTGACTTTCTTCACTAATACAGTGACTGCAACAAAGAAAAGTGAAGCGCTATACTGACTCATATCTTTGCTTTCAGAGTGGTTTTACCCCTTTGCACATAGCTGCACACTATGGAAATGTCAACGTGGCAACTCTTCTTCTAAACCGGGGAGCTGCTGTGGACTTCACAGCCAGGGTATGGATTCAAATAGTTTCTCATTCTATAGCAGTAAATGAGTATTTTAACAAAGAAAAAAAAGACAAAACACCAATGCCTTCTTAAAGGTTTTATTTCTTTTTCCTTACCTGGGTCTATGCTAGAAATATTAAATTTTCCATTTTTTTTCTTTAAATCACATGAAGTCATCTTGGCTTAAGCAGAAAATAAGAATGTTGTAAACTCATGCAGAAATCATTTCCAATAGTTAGGGAGGACATTAATTCTGACCAGTATGAATAGTTATATTTAACAATCATGCCATGAATCCTGGTAAGTCATGTTAATAAATAGTTAAACTCTTAAAATGTTAAGTATAAAATGTAGACGTAGCACGTCTTGTGGTGATTGTAGGGCACACAATTTGGTAGGGAATTGTTTTCAATGAATTGAGAGTTTGTTCACATGAAGTCTTACTAAAACACATAAAAGGTGTCATATTGTTACATGTTAATGGTATGCTTTTATTAGAAAGAATTCACTTATATGATAGTTGTAATAAATCAGTATAGTTAATATACAGTTAGTGCAGAATATGAATATTCAAAAATTATAACACAAAAAATCAGGTACATATTCTTGCCTTAATGACATGTGATAGCCAATAAAATAAATAAATATAATTTGTATGCATAATGTTTTTGTACTAAGAAGTCATCTGCACTGAAACTATATTGTGCTATTTTCAAGCTGTTTTTCTTTCTGAATTATTCTGAAGGAGTTGTTTGTTTGTTGTTGTTGTTGTTTAGAGACGGGGTCTGGCTCTGTTGCCCAGGGTGGAGTGCAGGGGCACGATCATGGCTCACTGAAGCCCTGAACCCATGGGCTCAAGTAATCCTCCTGACTCAGCCTCCTGAGTAGCTAAGGCCAAAGGCACACACTATATACCTGGCTAATTAAAAAAAAAAAATTTATTTTTGTAGCAACAAGGTCTTATTATGTTGCCCAGACTGGTCTCAAACTCCTGGCTTCAAGTAATCCTCTCACCTCAGCTTCCCAAAGTGCTGGGATTACAAGCACGAGCCACCATGCCCAATTTGAAGGAGATGTTTTTAAGAATCATTTTTATATTGAATATTAATATAAATATTTGTATCCTATTTTTAAGCATCATAAAACTTAGGATTCCAGACTCTAAGCACGTGGATGTTATAGAAAGACTTTACACTAGTGCTCTATCTTAGGTAGATTTTAATTTGTTGTTTCTACTACATTAAAATGTTCCCTTTGTCTCTTGACTGTAGCATGTACATTCAGTACATATTTTCTAGTATTGACTAAGTTATGCAGTTTCATTCCATTTTTTGTTCTCTAATTGTTTTATGATTCATGTGTTTTTTTTGTTCCTTAAAAATCAAAGTCATAGAAAGAGTAGAAACTGTGGATCAAATTGCCACATAGGTCACAACCTCCTCTGTGGCCTTTAACACAAAGGCATCAGCATTATGCCCTATCATACCCAGCAGCTCTTGTTTGGTCTTTCTGTGATACAGAATGGAATCACTCCTCTGCATGTGGCTTCCAAAAGGGGAAATACAAACATGGTGAAGCTCCTACTGGATCGAGGTGGTCAGATCGATGCCAAAACTAGGGTGAGTGTCTCTGTTCTTTCAATTTTCTACCATTATTGTTTCTTTCAATCCTCATAGAAGGCACATCAAGACACCAGGTTGTAAACATAGTCATTTTGTTTTCAAGGAAATTGCTTTATTGGAATTGATTTAAATCTCATGCAGTATTTAAAGGGCTTATGTCATAAAGTGAAATTAATATTTGCTCATAAGCTCCCAGGGAAGCAAAATGTAGGCTGCTCAGCGAGATAGTTTTTCAAGTTTTTGCTTATTGATTTTCTGGGAACAAAGATCAAAGACTGGGCTTACACAACTCGGTTTGGGGTAGTTATAAGTATCAGGAACTCAAACTAATTACCTTACATTAAGCTTGAGAATGTGGCTTTTACAAAAAAAACATTTTAATACATATTTATAATCTTTTGCTTCTAACTATTCAATTCCTAATTCATTTTTCTTAAATGGCTATGCTATACTGACCTGCGCAGGCGATTTGCTGTTATGTAGAAAAACATACAGTTAGTATGCTAGACCTTTATTTATGTTATTTTGGTAGAAGTCATTTGTTTCAAATGTAAGTAAAATATCATTTCAAGTTTGCAATACACTGCAAATAGATAATAAGATAGGCAGTAGAGTGCAGTTGTTAAAAGTGCAGAATGAGGGCTAACTGCCTGATTTCAAATCCTACCTTTTACTGTTAATAAGTTACATTACATTGACAGTTTACTTACCTTCTCTGAACTTAGGCTAATAACACACTTACCTAATAAAGTTGTGTAAGAATTAACTCTTAGCTATATTATTTACCTTTTTTTTTTGAAAAAGTGGAGTAAATTACATAGCTCTTTATGATATTTGATAATATTACTGACATTATACAATATAAAGTTAATTACTGAAACATATAAGGAATATTTCAATATTAATTCTCTGGGGTAGATTTGGTTAATCACAGACTTTGACAAACTTCAAATATGCCTATAATCCAAATATGTTAATATGTGGTGTAAAAAGTCCTTGTTAATATGTGGTGTAAAAAGTCCATCAAAGATGACAAATAGAATATGTCTCTTAACGTATTTAACTTCGCTTTATTTAATTCTGAGACTTCATGTTTTTATAGTCCCAGCAGTAAAGATCAGATATAGTTTCCTTGTAAATCTGAAGACTAGCAAACACTTTTGTTTAATAAACTTTGTCATCTGTAAGCTTCCAGGATCTATACCAGCCCCAGACTATAAATTATCATTTTTAATGACCTCAGGAAACCTTGCTTTCTTAATCTCACTTCTCTAAAGCTTTTGACCCAGAATGGCTACATCACGTCACCTAGGAGAGGTTCGCATTCTGTCAAATCTTTGTTGCGATGTCCAGTGTCTTTGCATCAGAGTTTTACGTGGTATCTACTTTTTACTTAGTAGGCACGCCTTTTTCCTTACCATACTATGAGTATACAGAATTTAGAACAGTATGCGTTATGTTGCATGGTTTGCTTACCTATTTTTTATATTTAAAGGAGTGAGTTTTTGCACATTGCTATAGCATCATTACTAACAGCACCAATGCTAGTATAATTTTTTCCTATATGCTGCCTCTATGAGATAACTACTGGAAAGAAAGCATTTTGGAAATGCAAAAAATTTTTATCTTGGCCAATGTCTTAGGGATGCACATTGCTTTTATTAATGCTTTTTGGAATATTCATTCATTATTGAAGCAGTTGATTTTGTTCTTATTAATCACCGCAATAATTACTTAATAAAAGTACTCTAATTTGGGTGGCTTACAGACATTTGGGTATAAAATTAAAAAGTCTAACTCCAAATAGGCAGTGTATCTTCATAAAAAGAGTACTAATAAATGAAGAGTAATGGATTCTTACACTAGTTCTGTGATTAACTAATTATCCTTGAGCAAGTTAACAATCGAATGTAAGCCCTGGTTTCTTTTATGAAGGGAATATTTGGGTCATATTTTGTATAGTTCAGCCTTTAGATACAGCAAATAAATTAAATTTCATTCAAGGATTTAAAAAGAGTAAAATAGGTTTTCTAATTATGTACATTGTATAAACATTCCATTCATTTATTCCTTAAATAAATAACTATCGAGTTCCTTCTTGGTGCTGGGAACCCTGAAGATACAACAGACAAAAAGACAGACTAGGTCTCTAGACTCACAGAGATGCAAGTCAGCAGTTCAAGGAAATAACTTAACAGTCTTCTGATAAAAGTTTAATAATAGGTTCTTTTTTTAAAAAAATCTTGATTTGTAGCATTGTCTTTGCTGATTTCCATGGTATAAATCTTTCTACACTGGTCAGTTTAGAGTTAGCAATATGGTATCACTAAATGCAGACTTGGGATGAGGTGTGCAAAAACTGGCTCTCCTTATTTCATATGAGCTGGTTCCAGCATACCCCAGGATTAGGTACAATATTGAAAGGTTGCACTGAATTTTTTAGCACTAAACTTTCCCCAATAAGTTTATTTCTGTATATATTTTTGGAGACAGTAGTTTCACTCTGTTGCCCAGGCTGGAGTGCAGTAGCACAGTCTTGGCTCATTGCAACCTCTGCCTTCCATGTTCAAGTGATTCTTCTGCCTCAGCTTCCTGAGTAGCTGGGATTACAGGCACGCGTCACCATGCCCAGCTAATTTTTTTGTATTTTTAGTAGAGATGGGGTTTCACCATGTTGACCAGGATGATCTCGATCTCTTGACCTTGTGATCCACCCACCTCAGCCTCCCAAAGTTCTGGGATTACAGGCGTGAGCCACCGCGCCTGGCCTTCCCCAGTAAGTTTAAATACTTCTTCCTCTTTAAGCAGGAGGATTTTAAAAGCATTGCTAAGTTCTTTTCATTCTGGCTATCGCTAACAAACTTATATCCCTCTTACCAAATGCAAAATCAGGTAGGAGGTAAATACTGAAATCAAGGACTGTGTGCTGAAATTGGGAGACCAATTCTGGAACTATAATATTTGATTACTGAAATAAATGAATATGTTTTGCTTTTTCTTTTGCCTTTTGAAAACAGAGATATGTTTGCATAAAAAATAGAAAATAGGAAGACGTTTGTATTAGTTCTCATGCTGCTATGAAGAATTGCCTGAGACTGGGTAATTTATAAAGGAAAGAAGTTTAATTGACTCATACTTCTGCAAGTCTGGGGAGGCCTCTGGAAACTTACAATCATGGCAGAAGGGGAAATAAACATGTCCTTCTTCACATGGTGACAGGAGAGATAAATAAGTGCCCAGTGAAGGGGGATGCTCCTTATAAAACCATCCGCTCTCATGAGAACTAACTCACTATCATAAGAATAGCATGGGGGTAACTGCCCCCATTATTCAATTAGCTCCCACTGGGTCCCTCCCATGACACATGGGGATTATGGGAACTAGAATTCAAGATGAGATTCCGGTGGGGACACAGCCAAACCATATCACTGTTTAGTTTGTTTTTGACTATACTTTTAGATAATATAATAGAGCTTCTATATATGGAATGTTTTTGAAGTATTATGTTTTGATGTTTTTGTCATTGACATCTCAATTTCCCACTGCATTTAGATTAACCATAAATATTCTGAATTTAGTATGTTCTGTCAAGGATTTTCCTTTGATCTTCTCATTATTTTTCTTATTCATAAGGTTTTTATTATCTAGAGAATAGCAAGATCTATAGAGGCTTTTAGATAATTAAAAATAACAAACAAATTTTACCCTCAGTTATTTCTTTGCTCTCACCACTATTTTGGCAATCATTGAGACATTTTCTATCTTGTTGGCATTCTCATCATTGACAACTATCTAATGTGAAACTCTAAGACATTTACACCAGAGCCTTTTGCTGGTATCTGAAAGACCTCATTTTAATGTGAAAACATAAATTTTATAGCTAGCTAAAAAAAATTATAAATTTAGGTTTCATTAAGGGCATTATTTTTTATTTTTAAGCTTATTTATTATTTAAATGTAGAGATACCCCATATAAGGATTATGTTTAAAATATTAAAAAACATATTTCAATGCAAACAATAAAAGGTAGGCAAAAACATTAAAGGATGATGAACAAAAAGCAACACATAGCGAAAAGGAGTCACCCTTGCTACTTGTTATTAGGTGTAATAATTAAAGCAATAACAATAATGGTTGTCATTTGTCATATGCATATGTTATTCTAGGCACCCTGCTATGTGCTCTACAAGTACCATCTTATTTTGTCTTCCTAACAGCTTATGAAGTGTGTATCATTTTCTTGTTGAAAACATATGGAGGTCTTCATTTAAGAAATGAGACTACCAAAGGGAAAAATGAGTTTCAATGGAGTTATGTAACTTGACCTAGGACACACAGCTTGGCAATCAGCAGAGCCTACCCATGTGAATACATAAACTTTAGGATACATTGTTGGAAGAATGACCTAAGCAGAGCATCAGGGAAAATATGAAAAGATAAACTAGATAAATGGCATTTCTACAATATTGGTTAATCTTCCTTTGTCAAAGTTGTCCACATCATGGTGTATAGTACATCAGTGTGATTGATTCTAGAGAAAACAAACAAACAAACAAAAAAAAACCAGAAAAAACACAAAGGGTCTCTGGAAGGGGGAAAAACCCATAACCTGCAACTATAAACTTAGGAATTTAAGTAAAAAGGTTGTAGAATACAAAACCTTGAAAATATTTTTTTTTGGCATTAAGTTGATAATGTGCTTTGTAGAAAATATTCAAAATCTAATAAAATTGAGCCTGTTGGATAACTTGAATTTGATGTCATTATTGACACATCTTATAAGGATAGACACTTTGCATCATTAAATGTAGGATTTATAACTAATTTAATCCATATTGTTCTTTCATGTTCTTGTGGGTATATTAAATGTTCTCCATAAAGCTCCTATTAGTACTCTGAGAGTATTTTGGAGGTTTCAACATGATTACACAAAGACTATTTCATGTAATTTGCAGAAAGCAATACATTACCTTTTCTAAAAGAGATGTGAAGCAGCATTCCCTCCTTCATTTTTCAAACAAGACTTGAAAGTTAAATAGGATAAAAGACATCATCTCCCCTCTATATATCATGAAGCTGAGCCTTGGGGAGATTCACCCATAGTTGCTGATATGAAATTCACTGCAGGAATCCATGGCTCCAAAGTCCATACACTGAACCATACATTGCATATGATGTCTGTGTTCACTATGTGGGATTTCTCAAAACTTAGATCTCCACAAAGCCCCCACCAAGAATATGTTTGAGAAACCATACTATATCTATTGTTATATAACTTATGTAGTAACTAATGCTCTAGTTCCATGACAGGGTGCTGTTATCAGGGTTCAAAAGTGTAATTATTATCATTTCACCAGCATAACTCTTAGCCTCCTGTCTGGCAAACTTTAAAATAATGTAACATCCCAACTGCAGTAAATACTTTTTTATGAGAAGGGAATCTTTTCAGGCTAATTCTTAGGTACCCAAAACTTCAAAAACTGTTTTGGTTATTCACTATCTTCCTAGTAGCTAAATGGATTTCACAAAGCAAAGAATCATTATCAGTCAAGGTCCTAGCCAAAAACAGAGGCCCAAATTCAATCATTTTATTAGAGATTATTGAAGGGTCTATTTATAATATGGTGTAGTCTGTTGGAAAGGGATAAGGGACAGTGTAGAATCCTAGGGGCTAGTAACAGCAGGACTCAGTACCACTGCTCGACCTAAAAAGCGAGAAGTAGAAGAGCCTCCCAGAACTTCAAAGGGGAGAATTGTGTGGCATGGCTGCTTTGGCAGGAGAGTAAACTTTGGCAAAGACACACAGCCAGATTTAGGAGATCCCTTGAAGTTCCTTTCATGTCTTGCTGCATTGGCTAAGCCCAACCGGAAACCAGAGGACAAGGCAGCTCACTGATGTCCCTAGAGCAGCTGGTCTGTTGGGACACAAAGCAGAGTCGAGAAGGGTAGTGCATGGGTCTGGAGGGGCAAACAGAAGACACCTAGCATAGAAATCCCAGCGTTGAGTCAGAAAGAGTGTTGCGATTCGGATAAACTATTTTTATTTGGAGTAAAGTATAGCCTGTAGAGATGGTCCTGGAATTAGAGACACAAACGAGAGGCCATTCGAGTTCTGGATAAATCAGATATTGCTGAAGTCCTCTTAACTACTCATCATCCATTCTCTGTGATTTCCCCAGCTTCTCCACTTCTGTCCTTGAGACAATCTTTTTTTCTTTTTCCTCCAGCCTCAAATCACCAGTAAATTTATATACTCAGTATTTCATTTTCTCTCCCCCTTTTTGCCCACTGTTACTTATGTTTTGCCTCTCATTTCCCACCTGCTCTGCTTTTTGCCCACGCCACCCTAAAGAGAAACAAAATGTAAAAGACAGTGAGCACTTGGGAATTGCTCTGGAATCAGAGGCTATCTCAGAAGCGTTAAGGTCAGAAAGTTTTATAAATAATGTAGCATACAGTTCTACCATATTTTATTTGATAAAGTTAGAGTCCTAGTTATTAATAATAAAGTTCCTCTTTGGGAATCAATTATGTGATTTTCAAAATGTTGAAATATATTTGTAAAAATATTTTAAATTGTCTAAGAAATGACTTCCTTTTTACAAGCATTAGGATGCATTTTAGGAAAATTTATGAAAGTGGTAACAATTCAAAGGAAAACATATGAAAAATTACACTAAGAAAAATTTTTAGGTCAAAGTGTGTTAGAACAAACAAAATGAAAACAGTATAACCTAATATAATCCCTGTTTTGGGGTCCAGTGTGTAGAGCTTTAAAGTTCAACAAATGCCACGTGCTCTGCTTTTCCGTCTTCTTGAATATGCAAACACATGACCAGAAGCCCGTTTCATTCCATTGACCCTCCACACAGGGGATATCCCTTGCTTTCTCCCTGTCTCTGTGTTGTTTGTCTTTCCCTTTCTCCTGCTCTCTGTCAAGATCTATTTCTGACTTGTTTTCTCTTTCACTCATCTTCTTTCATTGATTTACTGAGTGATCAGGATTGAATTTAGGAAACTCCCTCTTTATGGTTACAATAGATGCAATATAGATTTTTTTTAAGTGAACTGGGGCCCAATTCTTTAATTCTTTTGGCAGGATGGGCTGACACCACTTCACTGTGCGGCACGAAGTGGGCATGACCAAGTGGTGGAACTTCTGTTGGAACGGGGTGCTCCCTTGCTGGCAAGGACTAAGGTGAGTCATTATCAGTAAAATGGAATCCTAAGGAATTTTTAAGTCATTAAAATGATCTCTATTCTTTTTTAAATAGAAGCATCAGCCAAGCATTTTCTACTTATTTAATAATTGTGTGCTAGAAATAGGAATATATATCAAACTTTTTAAAATTATTAAAATAAACAGATATATAAATCGAGACGTATTGAATGTGTGCCTTAAGGGTTTTCTCTCTCTCTCTCTCTCTCTTTCTCTCTCTCTCTCTCTCTCTCTCTCTCTCTCTCTCTCTATATATATATATATATATATATATATATATTTTTTTTTTTTTTTTTTTTTTTTTGAGATGGAGTTTCACTGCTGTTACCCAGGCTGGAGTGCAATGGCGCGATCTTGGCTCACCACAACCCCTGCCTCCTGGGTTCAGGCAATTCTCCTGCCTCACCCTCCTGAGTTGCTGGGATTACAGGCACGCGCCACCATGCCCAGCTAATTTTTTGTATTTTTAGTAGAGACGGGGTTTCACCATGTTGACCAGGATGGTCTCGATCTCTTGGCCTCGTGATCCACCCAATCGGCCTCCCAAAGTGCTGGATTACAGGCTTGAGCCACTGCGCCTGGCCTTTTTCTATATTTTTACCTGTTATTCTTACTCCAGATGAAAATTTGAATACATCTATATTTTAATTATAAATGAGAATATCTCTTAGATTCTGAATCTAGATTTTTATGATCCTCTCAGATGACTATGAAATATATATAAAATTATCTTTTAAAGCAGCACAATTAACAACATAAGTTGAATCTTTTTGCTCATCCAATCTCTGTCTCTTAGGCAATACTAATAAAAAATAATTTCTCAACAGTGGTATTGGTTGCTTATATTGAAGATTAGTAGAGGTGATTTGGAAAACACAAGTTGCAATAGGCCACCTACAAAGAGCTATTAAGAAAGCATATTTTCTTTATGACACAGTACATCTAGCATTTTTTTCTCTGATTTTATCAATATGCTCAAACACGGGGGAAGCACTTTTCCATATACATGAACACCACACTGTGAGTTGGTGTTGAAGATTTTCCATTATCAAATGTATTTTAAATGTTTTTATTGTTGTATAGTTCTCCATTATCCAAACTTAAATTGGGTTATCAGAAAATATTTTGAGACACGAATTGAAGATACTCATACAGAGCCAGTAAATGTGACACGCAGCAAACTTGGATCCTTAAATACAACAAAAATTTAGACAAAGAGCGCTTCTCATATTTTCTCCCTATTCCATTCCACCTCATGCCCCCTGCCCACACACACAGAGTTTATATCCACTAATGCTATTACTATGGTAAGCTGAAGAAACTAAGGCAACTGACACAAATATTTTTCAATTTATATATTTTAATTGAAATCATTTGAAACAAAACTAGTCCATATGTTTAAGATACATGTAGAACGAACTCAATTTGTAATGATGTACCCACATGCCATAAAAGAGTGGCTTCAAATCAGTAATATATGAAGAAGAGAAATAATTATCTGCGGCCGGGCGCAGTGGCTCAAGCCTGTAATCCCAGCACTTTGGGAGGGCGAGACGGGTGGATCACGAGGTCAAGAGATCGAGACCATCCTGGTCAACATGGTGAAACCCCGTCTCTACTAAAAATACAAAAAATTAGCTGGGCATGGTGGCGCGTGCCTGTAATCCCAGCTACTCGGGAGGCTGAGGCAGGAGAATTGCCTGAACCCAGGAGGCGGAGGTTGTGGTGAGCCGACATAGCGCCATTGCACTCCAGCCTGGGTAACAAGAGCGAAACTCCATCTCAAAAAAAAAACAAAAAAAAAGAAATAATTATCTGCATTATTTTCATTCTCATACTTGTACTGTGAATGTTGTATAAATTTGTCTTTAAAATGCAACAATTTGGGCTGGGTAATGCAGCCAGCCCAAATTATGGAAAGTTTTGTTAAAGAAACATTGAAATTTAAATGGAAATAACAAAATTTCAGATTAATCATGTTATAACCAATACCAAAACCAATATCAAGTTGAAAATAGGCAGATAGGCCTTCAAACCATAAAATAATCTTATCTGCAGAGTTTGCTTGTAATTGTCATATCACTAATGAAGCGGGTTACTTAGAAGGAATTTTTAAAATGTCCTCCCTGTAAAATCAAGTATCATTCATATGTAAGGATCCTGCATAAAGTGTCTCTGAGTGTACAGTTATATTCATGTATTCATGCATCGAACTATTACATAATGTTAAGATACATAGATACAATTTGCCAGGCAAGCGTTCTAGTCACTAAGGCACCATCAAGATGAATAATACACAATTTATAGCTGCAACAAGGTCAGAATTTAGTGGGCATGACAGAAAGGAGATAATTATAAAAATTAGAGGTATGTATAGGGTAAGAAACACAGAGAAGATGAACTAATCAGGTTAGAGTGAGGGGATACTGCTCTCTTGGGAGCAGAATAGGTGCCTAACGCTAGACTATTCCCCTCCCCTTCTGTATTAGTCTGTTTCATGCTGCTGACAAAGACATACTTGAGACTGGACAGTTTACAAAAAAGGAGGTCTAATGGACTCACAGTTCCACTTGGGGAGGAACTCACAATCATGAGGCTGAGGAGGCCTCACAATCATGGTGGAATGTGAAAGGCACATGTCACATGGCAGCAGACAAGAGAAGAGAATGAGAACCAAGCGAAAGGGGTTTCCCCTTATAAAACCAGCAGATCTTGTGAGACTTATTCACTACCACAACAACAGTATGGGGAAAACTACCATCATGGTTCAGTTATCTCCCACTGGGTGCCTTCCACAACACAAGAGAATTATGGGAGCTATAATTCAAGATGAGATTTGGGTGGGGACACAGCCAAACCATATTACCTTCCATAAAAGTCCTAGGTTTAAATCACCCATTCTTTCTCCTGAAGCAACCATCTAAGTGTCACCCCCTCAGACTTTGTAAATTCTAACTCTTTGCAAACTGTGACTCTTCATCACAACCTCTTCTTATTCTTTGTGACTTTAATGATCTTGATTAGAGCAGTAGATAATTCTTCTAGTTGGCCTCTCAGTTTGGTAACTGTACACCCTCTACAATTTCTGTGTCTAACTTCCCACATGCCAGCCCTCCTATGTTTCAGCTCACTTTCTTCAGAACCCAATTCCAGAAATTCTTTTATTCTGCTGGGACCTTCAGTCATAGTTCCACTGTTCCTCATTCACATCATCTCCTCACCTCTGCCTGACACAAATTCCATAGTCATTTATGCTACTCCCTCACATATTCATATTCCCTACATTTCACTCAATTAAATTCAACACACATTCATGCAACCAAATGTGGCTACAGGAAACACCCAGCCACACTAACTGTGCTCAGTTTAGATTCATGATCACTAACCTCAAGTCAGCTGGTAATGCTCCCTGACAATCACGCTCTATTTTCTAAGTCTATTCACTCTCACTTCCTACTATCTGACCATTCTATATTTTCTTCAAAGTTCTTTGAATTTTTCCTTGTCTTCATTTCCCACAACATGAGAGAATTTAAGCAATTGAAGAGAATTTCCAGAGATTCCCACCTTCATATCTATCCAATGGCATGACTTGGAGCCCATGTAGTCTACGTTCTCTCCTGTTACTGCCATCTGTGTGATTGCTTGGTCCTGCCTTTTTAACACACTTTCTTTATTTGCCTTTTGGGACATTACATTCTTTTGACTTTTCTTCTGTTTTCCTAGCTGCCGCTTCTTAGTCTCCTTTACTAGCTCCTCCTCATGTCTCCCATCTCTGAACCTTAAACCTCCAGAGCTCAGTTTTTGTATCTTTTCTCTATCTGCACTCACTTGCTACAAAATCTCATGCAGTTCTATCTTTAAATAGTATCTGTATGCTGGTGCCACACAAGTGTATATCTCCCGAATTCCATATGTAGATGTCAGCTCCCCATTGCCACTTGGATGTCTCCTGGGCATCTCAAATTTAGTAAGCTCAAAATTAAGCACTGGATATAATATCTGCGCCTCAACCTGATCTTCCTGTTATCTTTCTTGAGGTCAACCAATGGTCATCTCAGGCCAAACACCTCATGTCATGTTGGACTCTTCTTTCTTGCACTTTTCACATTTTGTCACCAAACATTGTGACCTCTTCCTTCAAAATGTATCATTAAGTCAGCAGCTTGCCAACAATCTCATTACTACCACTCTGGTCCAGGTCACAATCAACTCTACCTGGAGGACTGCAAGAGCCTCCTAATTGACTTCCTTCTTTGACATTTTGTCCATATAGTCTATTCTCAACACAGCAGCAAGAGTAATCCTATTGCCCTAAACCTTCCAACAGCACCCCGTCTCTGTGAATAAAAATCAAACCTGCCAGGTCTGTTACCACTCTGAATTCCTCCCCTTATCCATCATTCTCATTCACTCGCCTTAAACCACATTCTTCTCCTTACTGAATAGCAACATTGATCATGCCAGGTGTACTCCCAACACAATATGTTTGCACTTGCTTTTTCTCTGCCTCAAGTGTTTTTTTCCCCCAAATCAACAAGACTAGCTCTCTTACTTCCATCATGCCAAAACTCACCTTCTCAGTAAAGCCATTTCTGGATATCCTATCAAAATTGCACCCATGTACATAAACTCCCTTGGCCATTCTGTGCTTTAGTTTTCTGCTTTCCGTTGGTGGCCATCTAACACACTATATAGTTTAATTCTTACTATTTTTAAATTGTATGTCTGTCTTCAACACTAGAATGTAACCTCAATGAGGAGGGGGTTTCCTGTCTGTTGTGTTCTATTCTGTATTCACAGTACTTGAAAAGGGCTTGAGTAGGTGCTAAGTAAATATGTGTAAAATGAACAAAAGAGTAAATGATAAATATCTTATTTTTCACATAAATAACCTTCAAATAGGTAAAACAGCATCAATGAATGATAATTTTAAAAAGAAACAGGCAGCACTCTAGTCCAAACATCATTATCAAGGCTTGAGTTTCTTCTACATTTTGCCCTTGACAATTACCTTCCCCTCATTGTATAAACACCTTCTCATCAGTCTGTTCCTCATTTTCAAACTTATTTAATTAACTTCTAAATATGAAAGCAATAGTTATGAATGAAGATTATTTCAAAATATATAATTTGTGAGTCACATATACTCTACCACTCATCATCTACCAAATTAAGAATTCACGTATTTGTTTTTGTGACCCCTTACTGTTAAAATCACCTTTCTTGTTAAGAATATCATTCTGGAGGCCTTTTCTGGTATCTTATCCGATGCAATTTCTGCTTTGTTGAATGTAATGACTGCCAAACTGGATACTTGGCCAACAATCCTTTTTCTAGTGGCCATATTTGTGTTGGTTATTAAGAAATCCCATCTCTTTAATAGGCACTTTTTTTTAATTTAGTTTTTTCCTGAGTTTACATATTGTTTCCTGAAAGTTTGTTTAGCTTTTTAAAAATGGCAGTCTTACCTAGTCTGATGAACAGTGCATCGCCCTGCTATCGTGTGTTCCTGCTGTTGACTTCATTTTAGAATTAAGGCTAACACTGTTTTGGTCCATATCAATGATGGAAAATTTGAATAGAATGAGAATAGATTATCCTCAAATTTAAAAGTTGTGAGGCCATCGGCACATGGCCCACATTCGCCTCACACTCTTTTAGCTCTTACCTACCTGTTTTCTTGAAGTCCAATTCAAGTATCCTTATACTATAGGAAAAAGGAATTGTAAAATTTCACAGCAACATGGATCTACATGATGATCAGTTTCCTTACTCACCCATTTCCCTCTGTATTTATAAGAAATGCAGGCAGAGAGATTAAATGAATGTAGACTGCTGTGCATGAAGTTGGATACAAATAACTTAAGCATCAGCTGTTATCTACTTTTCTGTATTTAATATTGTCCTAATAACTGTAAAATCAAGCTAAATTACCACACATACCATTCATGACAGACATATTAATTTGCCTTTTTGTCTATGGTAGCATAATTATGAAATTAAATGTTCTCTTAGTGTCCTTTTCTTCCAAATATAGTCTGCTGTATATTCTCATTTCAAATGGAAATTATTTTTTCCCCTGCCACTAACTGTGTTAGAGATCATCAATCAACTTTGCTGTATTTTGGAATTTGAAAATAATGAAAAAAAAATTGATGTTATTTTGTTTTGTTTTTATGTGCAGAATGGGTTGTCTCCACTACACATGGCTGCCCAGGGAGACCACGTGGAATGTGTGAAGCACCTGTTGCAACACAAGGCACCTGTTGATGATGTCACCCTAGACTACCTGACAGCCCTCCACGTTGCTGCACACTGTGGCCACTACCGTGTAACCAAACTCCTTTTGGACAAGAGAGCCAATCCAAACGCCAGAGCCCTGGTAAACTTGGTCCAGCCCACATTAACTGAATACAGATTGAGACAAGCAAACCCAAATTCATTGACCAACATGCATACACCAGCAATGCATGGTTACAGATATATAGTTAATCCTGCTAAATTTGTCACCCTTCACAATCAGCCTGTCTACTTCACACCTTCATAGTTTGCTAGCATATGCTGGTGAGCAAAGATGTATTTAAGAGAACACCAGTGTAACATTTCTGAAACAAGTGAGTTCCAGACAGATAGATATGAAACCTTAGGAGTGATAAGCAGTTTTAAATGGAAAATAGAAGTTGAAAAATAAGAAATTACAAAATAAATTCTAGATACCTCTAAAGTTAAAACATGAGTGTGAAAAGTTGAATTTATTAATCACTTTTTGGAAAAAATAATGGTGAATACATTTGACTATGTAAGAGTATAAAATGTAAGCCTATCAAGAGTTCACTTGAAAATTTTTCTTGTTGGCTTGATTTCTCAGCCACTGGCTAATAGAAAAGTTATGCCTAGTGTGTTACTGCTTCAGGAAGCGTTTTATATATACCATCTCAGGAATTGCCCAAGAGGAAATTCCAAGAGGCTGTCCCTAGAGCAGCTTTATGTCTTCCCGGTTCTAATAGTGAATAAATCTTCCTTGCTTCACTTATTTTCTAACAATAATCATTGGAAGTATTAGACATGTACTAATTTACGCCTCTTGTTTCCTAATTCTCAAACTAAAAGTAAATCTTTTTTCTATGTGTTTACATGGTTTGTGTCAGTTAAAATTGGTCTTCAGACAGTCAGTATTTAAGCTGAGAGACCATTATAGGAATCATCAAATACTAAATATGATTTCTATGAATTTTTTTTTCCATTGAAATCAATTTATTGATAATTATATGGGAAGTGAATGTATTTTCTGGGTTATGTACAATTATGTGAAAATATTTCTTTTCTCTAGGGAGTCAAAAACATTAATTTTCAATTGGATAGTGGTCAACAAGCTTATAAAATATCACAGTCTGTTAATCGCAAATATTTTAAGTGCTGCATGTGCATGTGGCTATTTATATCTGGCATGCTGTATAGCTCATAAACAGGGGAAATGACTTAACCAATTAATTATGTTTGTCACTCTATTGTGAAAAATAAGAAGTCATCAGCTTAAGTTAGACCATATGCTTTCCTGAGAACTGCTAGTTTGTAAAAATGTTGATTGATGATTGATCTGTGTTGGGACATGCAAAACTGTTAGCTGGCAGAACAGACATAACAAAAGAACAATCTTGAAATGAAAAAAAATATATAATACACAACAAGTAAGCACGCAGCCAGTTAACACATTTTTCTTCATTTGCCCCAATTTCTGGGCATTAGCTTAGTTCACCAAGTTAGAAAGTACCTGACAAACTTCTCCACATTTCTTTACCCCTAGAGCCACCTCCTTGCAGTTATCCCGGAAATTCTCCATACATTTCTGGAAACTATTCAGGAACGTAACAGTCATTTCTTTATACAATAAAATTTATTTGATTGGCATATATGTTATAAAAATGATAAGAAACATAGCTTCTGTATGTAAAAATGATCAGCATAATGATCTCTGCAGTCTTGAAATAGTCCTTTATAAAGAAAATAGTAGCGAAGTTGAAATATTTCCCCAAAGGCAATATATTCTTAGATTTTTAAGTAGATGAATAATTCTTATGCTCTGGGAAATGGCTCTTCAGAAGAATATATGCTTATCTTCAGTTCATCTTCAAGTAATTTCATAACCTGGACAATCAATATACCTTAAAACATTTTAGAACTTCTAAAACATAATTGCCTCTCTACTTTTCTTTCTTTCTTTTTTTTTTTTGAGACAGAGTCTCATTGTGTCGCCAGGCACCAGGCTGGAGTGCAGTGGCACAATCTCGGCTCACTGCAACCTCTGCCTCCCGGGTTCAAGCAACTTTCCTGCCTCTGCCTCTTGAGTAGCTGGGACTACAGGTGCACACCACCATGCCCAGCTAATTTTTGTATTTTTAGTAGAGACGAGGTTTCACCATGTTGGCCAGGATGGTCTTGATCTCTTGACCTCTTGATCCACCCACCTTGACCTCCCAAAGTGCTGGGATTACAGGCTTGAGCCACCATGCCCAGCCCTATTTTTCTTTCTTTAAAGAGAAGGACCATATATTTTTCTTCATTTTTGTTTTCTCTGTAACCACACAAACAGAATTATGTACAGGCTCACCACACATAAGCAAATTTCAGTGCCTATAGGAACATATCACCATTTTTCTTTCCAAATTCCAACATCTACAGGGAATCTAAGAAACGGTAACATTATGTGACAATGTAACATTATTGCCTGCAATGTGCCAGCATGGAGTTATGTGAGAATTGTTTCTGCATGTTTTCAACTAACTTGATTGTCTTTTGCACAGAATGGTTTTACTCCACTGCACATTGCCTGCAAGAAAAACCGCATCAAAGTCATGGAACTGCTGGTGAAATATGGGGCTTCAATCCAAGCTATAACAGAGGTAGAAAAATGTTTTAGCTTGTCACAAAGCATTTCTTCTCTTACTCCTTCCTCCCTTTCCTTTTTCTCATCTTCTGTCCTCTTCACTCAAGTTTTATTTATCTGAAGAAGCCCCAAAGCCCCACTGGTGCAGAGGAGTAAAACTGCTGTTGCTTTGTTTCGCAGTCTGGCCTCACACCAATACATGTGGCTGCCTTCATGGGCCACTTGAACATTGTCCTCCTTCTGCTGCAGAACGGAGCCTCTCCAGATGTCACTAACATTGTGAGTATGGCTTGGGTCAGAATAACCCCAGAGAGGAAGAACGAGAGGAACAGAGAGTGTGGGTGTATGCACGTGTGTTTGCGTGTATGTCATCAAAGTAACCAAGCTTTGAGAAAGGCCCTTGTAATAACATATTGTTGAAATAATTGATAGAACTTCACTGCAAAGAACCTGGATAGGGTAAGAGGTGTTATAACGTAAAATGGAAGCTATGAAGTGAGACAGCTTAAGATTCTGGGTGTAGGTGGATTGAACAAGCATCTTAAATACATTTTTTTAAAAACAAAATACATTTTAAAACTCCTCTGAAAGTGAATGGATAATTGGTTGGAATCGAATCCTAAGGGCTCAGTCTAGTTGCTTGAGGGTACTGTATTCCAGTAATGTTCACAAAAGCATCAGATCAGTACCATAATCAATCTTAACATAAACAATCAAGATTAACCAGAGATAGATCAGTATCAGCGACTTTTACTTGGTATCAAATTTTTCCTTCTTCAATGACACGGATTTCCCATTTCCTAACATTACTTTGATTTTTACTTTTGATTTGATCTGGTTTGCTATAGTGGAGGCTTCTTTTACCTGAAAGTTATACCACATATCCTACACTGAATGTTGGTCTTCAGACCACTTTCATTCAGTCAATAAATACTGAATATCTCAGAATTTTTCTACATAATCTAAATTAGAATTTTCACTTCTAATTTCTTTACATTTCTCTCATGTTCTTGGATTTTTGTCCCTTTATTTGGTCATTGTGACATAACAAATTATCAAATGCAAATTTTCTCCTGAGCAAGAAAAGTACTCTGCACAAGGTGCAGGCATGTATTTGAAGTTCCAGAAGGGCAGTAGAGTACTGAGATTCACAACAGAAATAACTCCCTCAGAATAAATGTGATTGCTTCTTATTAAAATGAGTTATGTTTTCAAAAGCAATTGATTGTCACTTGTTGCTAATTTTTGGTATCTCATTTCATTTAAGTTGTGAAAAGAATGTCCAATTTCACTTTTTATTTGTATTCCCCCTCATGTTTCTATTTCTCTGTATTTCACACACTGTTTCCACAGTGAAGTTTCTGATGGCTGGGAAAACCCATTTTGAGAATTAATTTAATTGATTTAAAAATCATTTAATACTCTCTCTTCATATTATTCAGTTATCAGAGCATAAAATAATTGAAGAATTTAAAGTCTGTGTTTATAAGTTTTCTTAATTATAGCTTATTGGTTCTAAGGTCATAATGTTATATGCTAATCTTTATTTACTCCATTAGGCATAAGAGTTAATTTCACACACAAAAAATGTGCTAATGTAAGTTTAATTTCTAGTTACTTCTTGGAACTTCAAAAGTAATCATCCCCTCTCCGCCCCCCCACTCTTTTTTTTTTGAGATGACCACTCTTCTTTCTTAAAAAAATTGAGACCTGAACAGACTTACATACAGGCCAATGACATTAAAACTAAAACAAAAACAACAAGATCAAAAGAAAACAAACAACTAACCAAAAACCTCTGTGTTCTTGCCTGCCTTTTCCTTCTTTTTCTCCATCTTTTCTTATTTGCATTCCAATGCCTATAGCTCACTGGAGCAATAGTGACACTATGTTACAATATGTTATTACATTATAAGGATAACATGTACAAGAATATTCTGTGGATTGCTTGATTGCAATCCCCTAAATTAATAGCTTCCAGGGGAGATTTTTACAAAATTTTCAAAAAATAATCCATATAAAATGATTGTGGGATTTGTGGCCACTCTTACTTTGCTTCTTTACTGACCAAATCCAAATCTTCTGATGGTTATGGAATTGTAATATATTCCCTTCTATTTAAAAAAAGCTATATAGGGTACATATATATTTTCAAATAAAAATAAAATATTAATTGAAACAACAATTTTGACATGTTTTTCAACTTGTTGAAGACTCTCAAATTTGACAATTGCTATGTTGAACTTTAGCTTTCAACTGTTGGTCATTTAAAATTCTTCATTTTACCTGTTCATTTGTCCATTATATTATCCTTCCATCCAGGTCCCTCTAAAGATATTCTTGAGATGCACATGCCAATATAATCTCTATGTTTTCTAGTTGGTTTTGTGTAAAATACATCCTTCAGGAAGCAGATACTCTATTGATAGGGTTGCCAGGTAAAATATAGGACTCTCAGTTAAATTTAAATTTCAGATAAGCAATAAATTTTCGTATATGACTTGTGACAGTTAAGACATAGTAAAATAATTATTTGTTGTTTGTCTGAAATTAAAATTTAACTGGCTGTCTTTTACTTTCAATTTCTAAATCTGGCAATCCTACATTTAGAGGAATTTAACTTTCTCTAAGAATGGGATACCTGTGAAGTTGTGTTTTCTCAGAATATGGGGATATAGCTACTGGATCCAAAATTCTTTGCAAGTTGATTAAGAAACTGTATGAACACTGACTGCCTGCTTGCTGTGTCAGAGTTGGCCATTTCCTGACCCTAAAATACCCCACCCTTGGAGCCTTTGTGTGTTGCCTGAAATCATGTTGCATTTTTTAATGCAATGCTGTTTGTTGTGCTTTGATGCTTTTCAGCTTGATGAGCCCAAAGTGGAAGTCAATGTAGCCTGTCAGCAGAGTCAGTTTTAACAACTGAGAAGAGTGGCATGAAATTTAGTACCTGCTTTGGACATGAGCGTAGCCATTCTCTTGCTAGTTTTGTTTTTGTCTGAAAATTCACTCTAGTTTTGAGGTTTACCAGTAACTCAATAATCTACAGACTTTTTTTTTTTTAACTGAAAATCTCCTTTTCCAGAAGGAGATTTTCAGTTAAAAAAAAAAGATTAATATACTTTGAAATTGATTTTCAAAGATTGATACACTTTGAAACCTAGAATGCCGAACTGCCAGTTACGACACATCCATAATCCAAAGTATTTACCTACAACCACAGGAATAGAAAACCAAGCATTTTAACAACTATCGGGAATAGAATTCAAGGTCTTACAAAGTTTTATGTTCCTTCCTATGACAAATCAATGAACTAATGGTAAAGTCCACACATTAAATTATGCCAAAAAATTCCCCCAATCCTTAAATTTCAGATAAGGAAGACAAGGCTATTAAAAAATAGGGTGCCTGACAATCAAAACATGGAAGTTATTTATTAAAAATATATATCCTGGCCTTCATTTTCTCATTTATTCTTATATTAAACAATGGAAACAATGGTAATATTTATACAAAAAACACAGGGCAGTTTACAGTAAAAATCCATTATGCCAGAGGCATTAGATAAGAATTAAACAAGACCATTATTATAAAGTGGAGAGACCATATGTATGTTTATACATAATCTTTGTTTGAATATAAGCCATAGTCTTTTAGATCAGATTCTATATCTAACTAATCAATTTCAAGTATATAAAACCCATAAAAATAAGTACAAAATAAGGGTTTTAGAAATATTGACCAGTACTATAAACCTTTCAGATTTTGAAAGCCTCTTATTGATAAAGCTTGGCTTAAAAAATAAACATGATTTTGAAAACCTCTTATTGATAAAGCTTGGCTTAAAAAATAAATATGATTTTGAAAGCCTCTTATTGATAAAACTTGGCTTAAAAAATAAACCTGATGGGTGGGTATGGTAGAGGATGCCTGTAATCCCAGCTGCTTGGAAGGCTGAGGCAGAAGAATCATTTGAACCCAGGAGGCAGAATTTGCAGTGAGCCAAGATTGTTCCACTGCACTCCAGCCTGGGGGACAGAGCAAGACTTTGCCTCTAACTAACTAAATAATAAATATGAATATTTGTCATTGAATAGGAATTCCTGGGACCTCTTTGACTTAATTTCCTGTAAGGAAATTTATTTTTATCTTCATTTCTACCAGAATTAATAAAACTGCTAGCCTTTTATCAGACCTAGAAATAAAGATTTGAGGGATTTTGTCTTTGTTTTCTGAGACAGGATCTTGCTCTGTCTCCCAAGCTGGAGTGCAGTGGACAAGATCATGGCTCACTGCAGCCTCAACCTCCTAGGCTCAGGCTATCCTCCTGCCTCAGCCTCCCATGTAGCTAGGACTACAGGCATGCACCACTATGCCTGGCAAATTTATTATTACATTTTTTTAGAGAAGATATCTTGCTATGTCTTCCAGACTGGTCTTGATCTCTTGGCGTCAAGCAATACTCCTGCCTTGGCCTCCCAAAGTGCTGGGATTACAGGCTTGAGCCACGATGCCTTGTCTTATTTTGTTTTGTTTGAATACCATTGGCCCTCTGTATCAGCAGCTTCTGTATCTGTATTTGAAAATATCAAATATTTTCAAAAATATTTGAAAAAATCAAATATTTTCAAAAATATTTGAAAAAATAAAAATAAAAAAATACAATTAAAAAGTAACACAAGTTTTTTAAAAATACAGTATGACAACTAAATAGCATTAATATTATGTTAGGTTTTATAAGTAATGTAGAGCTGACTTATACAGGATTGTGTACATAGATTACACGCAAATACTACACCTTTATATAAAGGACTTGACCATCCATGTATTTTGGTATTGGTGGGGGAAACGAAGAGCCTGGAACCAATCCCTCGCCAATACAGAGGGACAACTGTAGTTAGAAGACCTTAGCCTCATCTATTTAGAGCCAGGTTTTAAATGACATAGAACACAAGTTAGAAATCATGGTTGTCCATGGAGAAAAAATCTTGCCATACATCTAAAGTCTGAAGATAAATATAAGCATTCCAGTAATATGTCATTTTATAAAACAACATACTCCAGATATATTTACTTTACAAAAGTCTGAATCAGTCATCAGAAAATAAGCTCCTTAGAGGATAAATGAGTCATCAACAAAGAAGAGAATAATTATTAGAGTATTTAATTTAGTGCTTTCACAATCAATCATTTGACATGAATTTCTCATAACTTCAAAAGAAATGGGTCTCTAAAATACTGAAAAAAAATTAACTGTTATCTATATGCCAAATTAAAGTTCAGCTCAAAGTTTCTAGATTTAAGGGTTTGTTGTACAAGTAATCAGAATAAATTATTCACTGGAGTTTGTCAGAAATATTCAATCACCACAACAAACTTTAAAATCAATTTAGTTTATTTGGAATGGTTTACTTTACTTGGTTGAAATCAGCCTTATTTTCTAAACAGTTGTGGTAAATCAATCTGTAGTAATTTTTATTCCAATATCTTATTCTGTTATAACCATAAAATACTTGAGTGAATGAAACCCTGCCTTCTTTAGAACTACATATAGTTTTAAAATATGCTGATTTTTAAAAACCTCTCTTAGAGACAGTAGAGTAATAACCGGCTTCTTGATGAGAAAGTTCTCTTAATCTAACCCTCATTCTTCATGCTGCACCTAAAGCTACCCTTTCCTGATAAGTGTGTCATATTTTGGTGTAGAACAAAGATACTTGAGGAATGATGAGTGGCCTACCTCAACAGGTAACACTGCTGACAGTCACTTTATTCATCTTCCAGTGGCTCTCTCCAATAACTGTCCATAATTAAATATGCTCATTAATCTTAAATAAGGGACCTCCTGGGCAAATCAAATTTTTTGTCTGAACAGTTTTTGTCTAGTCTCATAACACAAAGAAAACTCATATATAAAGTAATAGTTTATTTCAGAAATAAATTTTGAATCTTGAAAAGAAATGATTTATTTATGGTACAAGTGGTGTTAATTTGTTGCAATGTGTTGATCTTCAGCAACTAGAGTTTCTCACTGAAATAGATTCAAGTTGTGATCACATAGTTAGGTGAGACAATGGCAAATTTTAGGTTTGTAGGGTAAAGATAACTTTATCACCAAAATCAACTTAAAGGGATATTTGGCTGATTGTGAAGTTAACCCTCAGAGTATTCTGGATGTTTGGGGAAATTTACTAGTTTGTCATGGACTTAAAAAAAAATAAAATGAACATTTGTTTTATCTTTATAAAAATGGAAAAGAAAAATACAAAAATTAGCTAGGTGTGGTGGCGTGTGCCTGTAGTCCCAGCTACTTGGGAGGCTGAGGCAGGACAATCACTTGAACCCAGGCGGAGGAGGTTGCAGGGAACCGAGATGGTGCCATTGCACTTCAGCCTGGGCAACAATAGTGAAACTCCGTCTCAGGAAACAAAACAAAACAAAACAAAAATCAAAGAGAAAATACAAAGCTATATTTTCCTGACTAAATAATTATGCCTTGTCATGGGTTTCTTAAATCATTGGATATAGTGCTGAACGTCACAAAAAGGGACAACTTTATTCTTTACCACCCAGAGCAGTGGGTTAATTTGTGATTTAACGATCATTGTTCCCTGGCAGCGTGGTGAGACGGCACTACACATGGCAGCCCGAGCTGGGCAGGTGGAAGTGGTCCGATGCCTCCTGAGAAATGGTGCCCTTGTTGATGCCAGAGCCAGGGTAGGTGCTGGTATTCTGAGGTTCTCTTCTATTGCAGATTGTGACCCTCATCCTTAAGAGAGGGGGTTTCCCCTTCAGTTCTTTGATTTGGAAATACCATGGACTGTAAGTGAAAGGATCAATTCAATAGCAATTTTCCAGGAAAAAAAGAAACAGCAAATACACACAATGAAAAATGTACCCCAGTTTCAGAAACATTAACATTTGAAAAAATGTACAACTTACCCTCTAACAAATATGGCATTGACTAATATTTTAATACTTTTTTTAAATCTCAGGAAGTGCTTTCTCATATCTCTTTATTTTAATGAATTTTAAATTTAACCTATAGTATTTAGATGCTATACATATTAAAATTTATTTCTTACCACCTAAAGCAATCACATGTCCACAGTCATCCCTTACTAGTTACATTAAAGCAAGTTATTCTCAAAGTTTTAATGTTTTTCCTTCATCTGGCTGACTTCCCTCCTTTTATGATATTTACTTTTCTTGCTCTGATTTTACATATTTAGACATTCTGTATTTCCACTATTCCAGAATAGAATTTGGGCACTGAAGATTGCTTGATCAGACTTGTCCTGTTTTTAATAGCTTCTAATTCCCTCAAGAGTTGCTTTTTCCTTCTTTTTCTTTTTCTAAAATTTTACTTCCCAACTTATTTTCTCACCCCTCTTTATACCGAATATACCAGAATACACTGAATACACTATCAATATACTTTGTCTTCTATTTCCTTTTCCATGTTGTTTGGTTAACTTTTTTACGGCATCATTGAGATTCTCATGTTAAATAGTTTCTTCTTCAATATTTGATACCTAAGTTAGAACTCATTTCCGTCTGAGTTGTATCATTATAGCTCCATTTTAAATACAGTGCTATATTGGAATGAAAGCATCTGGCTATGGTCATATAAATTGTAAGTGATTTCAGGCAAGTCACTTCACTTCCAAGTCTTTTTTTTTTTTATTTATTATACTTTAAGTTCTGGGATATATGTGCAGAATGTGCAGGTTTGTTACATAGGTATCCAACTGCCATGGTGGTTTGCTGCACACATCAACCCGTCATCTACATTAGGTATTGCTCCTAATGCTACCTCTTCTACCTGCCCCCCACCCCTTGATAGGCCTCAGTGTGTGACAATCCCTTCTCTGTGTCCATGTGTTCTCATTGATCAATTCCCACTTATGATCTAGAACATGTGGTGTTTGGTTTTCTGTTCCTGGTTTGTTTGCTGAGAATGATGGTATCCAGTTTCATCCATGTCCCTGCAAAGGATATGAACTCATCCCTTTTTATGGCTGCAGGGTATTCCATGGGGTATATGTGCCACATTTTCTTTATCCAGTCCATCATTGATGGGCATTTGTGTTAAAGTCTTTGCTATTGTGAACAGTGCTGCAGTAAACATATGGAAGCATTTCTTTTTCTTCATATCCTCTTCAGCATCTGTTGTTTCTTGACTTTTTAATGATTGACATTCTAAATGCCATAAGATAGTATGTCATTGTGGTTTTGATTTGCGTTTCTCTAATGGCAAGTGATGATGAGCTTTTTTTCATATTTGTTGGCCACATAAATGTCTTCTTTTGAGGAGTGTCTGTTCATATCCTTCACTCACTTTTTGAAGGAGTTATTTGTTTTTTTCTTGTAAATTTGTTTAAGTTCCTTACAGATTCTGGATATTAGCCCTTTGTCAGATGGATAGATTGCAAAAATTTTCTCCCATTCTGTAGGTTGCTTATTCACTCTGATATAGTTTCTTCTGCTGTGCAGAAGCTCTTCAGTTTAATTAGATCCGTTTATCAATTTTGGCTTTTGTTGCCATTGCTTTTGGTGTTTTAGTAATGAAGTCTTTGCCCATACCTATGTTTTGAATGGTATTGCCTAGGTTCACCTCTAGGGTTTTTATGGTTTTAGGTCGTACATTTAAGTCTTTAATCCATCTTGAGTTAATTTTCATATAAGGCATAAGGGAGGGGTTCAGTTTCAGTTTTCTGCATATGGCTAGCCAGTTTTCCCAATACCATTTATTAAATAGTATTTATTCTCACCATTGCTTGTTTTTGTCAGGGTTTTCAAAGACCAGATGGTTGTAGATGTGCGGCATTATTTCTGAGGCCTCTTTTCTGTTCCATTGGTCTATATATCTGTTTTGGTACCGTGGCTACAGTACCATGCTGTTTTGGTTACTGTAGCCTTGTAGTGTAGTTTGAAGTGAGGTAGTGTGATGCCTCTAGCTTTGTTCTTTTTGCTTAGGATTGTCTTGGCTATATGGCTCTTTCTTGGGTCCTTATAAAATTTAAAGTAGTTTTTTTCTAATTTTGTGAAGAGAGTCAATGGTAGTTTGATGGTGATAACATCAACTCTATAAATTACTTGGGGCAGTATGGCCATTTTCACGACATTAATTCTTCCTATCCATGAGTATGGAATGTTTTTCCATTTTTTTGTGTTGTCTCATATTTCACTGAGCAGTGGTTTGCAGTGCTCCTTGAAGAGGTCTTTCACATCCTTTATAAGTTGTATTCGTAGGTATTTTGTTCTCTTTGTAGCAATTGTTAATGGTAGTTCACTCATGATTTGGCTCTCTATTATTGGTATAGGAATGCTTGTGGTTTTTGCACATTGATTTTGTATCCTGAGATTTTGCTGAAGTTGCTTATCAGCTTACAGATATTTTGGGCTGAAATGATGAGGTTTTCTAAATATACAATCATGTTATCTGCAGACAGAGACAATTTGACTTTCTCTCTTCCTATTCAAATACACTTTATTTCTTCCTTTCTTCCTTTTTTCCTTCTTTTCTTCTTTTTCCTTCTTTCCCCTTCTTTTTCCTTCTTTCCTTTTCCTTCCTTCCTTCCCTCCCTCCCTCCTTCCTTCCCTCCTTCCTTTGTTCCCTCCCTCCCTCCCTCCCTCCCTCCCTCCCTCCCTCCCTCCCTCCCTCCCTCCTTCCTTCCTTCCTTCCTTCCTTCCTTCCTTCCTTCCTTCCTTCCTTCCTTCCTTCCTTCTCTTTATTTTCTTTCTCTTGCCTGGTTGCCCTCACCAGAACTTCCAATACTATGTTGAATAGGAGTGGAAAAAGAGGGCATTCTTGTCTTGTGCCAGTTTTCAAAGAGAGTGCTTCCAGCTTTTGCTCATTCAGTATGATATTGAATGCCCATTCAGTATGATATTTAGTATGGGTTTGCCATAAATAGCTCTTGTTATTTTGAGATATGTTCCATCAATACCTAGTTTATTGAGAGTTTTTAGCATGAAAAGGTGTTGAATTTTATCAAAGACCTTTTCTGTATCTGTTGAATAATCATGTGGTTTTTGTCATTGATTCTGTTTATGTGATGGATTATGTTTATTGATTTGCATGTATTGAACCAGCCTTGCATCCCAGGAGTGAAGATGACTGGATTGTGGTGGATAAGCTTTTTGATGTGCTGATGGATTCAGTTTGTCAGTATTTTATTGAGGATTTTTACATCGATGCTCATCAGGGATATTAGCCTGAAATCTTTTTTCTTGTGTCTCTGCCGGGTTTTGGTATCAGGGTGATACTGGCCTCAGAAAATGAGTTAGGGAAGAGTCCCTCTTTTTCTATTGTTTGGAATAGTTTCAGAAGGAAGGTGTCAGTTGCTCTTTGTACCTCTGGTAGAATTTGGCTGTGAATTTGCCTGGTTTCTGTGAATCTTGTTGATCTGTCTAATATTGACAGTGGGGTGTTACAGTCTCCCAGTATCATTATATGGAAGTCTAAGTCCCTTAATAGGTCTCTAAGAACTTACTTTATGAATCTGTGTGCTCCTGTATTGGATGCATATATATTTAGGATAGTTAGCTCTTTTTGTTGCATTTATCCCTTTACCATTATGTAATGCCCTTCTTTGTCTGTTTTTGATCTTTGTTTGTTTGAAGTCTGTTTTATCAGAGACTAGGATTGCAACCCCGGCTTTTTTTTGCTATCCATTTGCTTGGTATATATTCCTTCATCCCTTTAGTTTGAACCTATGTGTGAGTTTGCACATGAGATGGGTCTCCTGAATACAGCACACCAATGTGTCTTGACTCTTTCTCCAGTTTGCCAGTCTGTGTCTTTTCATTGGGGCATTTAAACCATTTACATTTAAGGTTAATACTGTTATGTATGAATTTGATCCTGTCATTATGATGCTATTTGGTTACTTTGCCCTTTAGTTGATGCAGTTTCTTCAGAGTGTCAATGGTCTTTATAATTTGGTATGTTTTTGCGGTGGTTGGTACTAGCTTTTCCTTTGCATATTTAATGCTTCCTTCAGGAGCTCTTATAAGGCAGGCCTGGTGGTGACAAAAATCTCTTAGCATTTGCTTGTCTGTAAAGAATTTTATTTCTCCTTCGCTTATGAAGCTCAGTTTGACTGGTTATGAAATTCTGGGTTGAAAATTATTTTCTTTAAGAATGTTGAATATTGGTCCCCATTCTTTTCTGGCTTATAGGGTTTCTGCAGAGAGATCCGCTGTTAGTCTGATGGGCTTCCCTTTGTGAGTAACGTGACCTTTCTCTCTGGCTGCCTTTAACATTTTTTCCTTCATTTCAACCTTGGTTGGATGAAATGATGAACCTGATGATTATGTGTCTTGGGGTTGCTTTTCTTGAGGAATATCTTTGTTGTATTCTCTGTGTTTCCTGAATTTGAGTGCTGGCCTGTCTTGCTAGGTTGGGGAAGTTTTCCTGGATAATATCCTGAAGAGTATTTTTCAGCTTGGTTCCATTCTTCCTGTCACTTTCAGGTACATCAAACAAACATGGATTTGGTCTTTTCAGATAGCCTCATACTTCTTGGAGGCTTTGTTCATTCCTTTTCATTCTTTTTTCTCTAATCTTGTCTTCACACTTCATTTCATTAAACTGATCTTTGCTCTCTGATATCCTTTCTTCCACTTGATTCATTAGGCTACTGGTATTTGTATATGTTTCACAAAGTTCTCATGCTTTGTTTTTCAGCTCCATCAGGTCATTTATTTTC